TTATAATTTGGTACTTATATACTGCTATATACAAGATTTATATACTGCTATATACAATACTTATATACAATGCTTATAATTTATTCATTTGATAATTACATATAATTTGTACTTATAATTGGTACTTATAATTTGGTACTTATAATTGGTACTTATATGCTGCTCATGGTTGATTTGGTACTTATAATTTGGTACTTATAATTGGTACTTATATGCTGCTATATACAATGCTTAGAAGTTATATACAGTGCTACTATATACAATGTTGTTGCTGTTATATACTAATATGTGCTGTTATTTTAGGGATTGGTACCAGCTATTCTTGAGACAAGCCAACATGTTGAACACAAACTATGTGTTAAACACTTGTATGGCAATTGGAGAAAGAAATATCTTGGGATATTTATGAAGGAGGCTTTATGGCGGGCAGCTAGAGCCACAACAATTCCTGCATGGGAAAGAGCAATGAATCATATGAAAGAGCTCAATGTCAATGCTTGGAAAGACATCATGGATGTCCCAGCTGCATGTTGGACTCGGTCTCATTTCAAAACAGACACACAATGTTATTTGCAAGTCAACAATATGTGTGAGGCTTTTAATCGTGCAATCTTGGAGTATAGAGATAAGTCGATCATTTCACTACTTGAAGGAATCAAACATTACATAACAGTGAGAATATCTGCTCAAAAGGAGAAAATAAGTAGGTACACAGGTGTTACAAGTCCTAGCATTCAAAAAGTCTTGGAAAAAACAAAGAGGGCAGCTGAAGGATGGATTCAACATGGCATGCAGATGATGACTTTGCTATATTCGGAGTTTCAAACGGTGTTAAGACATATGTTGGGAACTTGCTTCAACAGAAATGTGGTTGTAGGAAGTGAGATTTAAGTGGAATACCATGTTGTCATGCTATTGCATGCATATGGTATAACAAGAAGGAGCCCAAAGATTACGTTTCATCATTCTATAGGTATCACCTACTCGTATATTATGTTCATTTACATTCATCTTTTTTGTATGTTGTGAGATGTTGGATCGAACTCTAGTATGGTCGAAGTCTGTTTGCGAGTAATGCGTGTTGTAGTCGAAGTTTGTTCTAACATGCATTAGTCAATATTGCTAGGGTTGTTAGCATGTTGAATTGGGTCTTGGTTGTAAGCCCAATTGTTTAAGTTAGCTTGTACCCTAAGTTGGCTTGTAATGGGTAATTGTTAAAAAAGCCCATTAGGTTAGTGTGCTATTTTACTATAAATAGAATGCTAGTTTCTCAATCTTGGGAATAAGGAAAAATAGGAAGATAAAATCCTAATTTCAAGGGAGAGAGGTTATTTTTTTATTCTTGTATACTTGTAATCTTGTTCTAAGAGAAAGGAAAGAATAGCAGTTTAATAACCAATCCTTGTTGTCCCTTATTGTTTTACCTTGTCTTCTTTATTAACCCTAACCCTTGTGTGTTTCTTGATCATTAAGAAACTGTTTATACTTTGTTTAAAGGTATCCGATTCACAACAAATTGGTGCGGTGAGCGTGGAAGATGCCTTCAACAAAGTGTGAGATTGAAAAGTTCACCGGAGTGAACGACTACAGTCTGTGGCGCTTGAAGATAAAAGCCCTATTGGTTCAGCAGGGTTGTTTGGAAGCGTTGAAGCGTGAGGCAGCCATGGACATTGCGTTAACGGAAAAAGAAAAGACATTGTCTAGTTGCAAGTGTTTCCATTGTATGCAGTTAATAAATCTGCATGAAGAAAGCTAGTTTCTTGATGTTATAGAGTTAGATCCAAGGTGGAGATTTGTGAGATGTTGGATCGAACTCTAGTATGGTCGAAGTCTGTTTGCGAGTAATGCGTGTTGTAGTCGAAGTTTGTTCTAACATGCATTAGTCAATATTGCTAGGGTTGTTAGCATGTTGAATTGGGTCTTGGTTGTAAGCCCAATTGTTTAAGTTAGCTTGTACCCTAAGTTGGCTTGTAATGGGTAATTGTTAAAAAAGCCCATTAGGTTAGTGTGCTATTTTACTATAAATAGGATGCTAGTTTCTCAATCTTGGGAATAAGGAAAAATAGGAAGATAAAATCCTAATTTCAAGAGAGAGAGGTTATTTTGTTATTCTTGTATACTTGTAATCTTGTTCTAAGAGAAAGGAAAGAATAGCAGTTTAATAACCAATCCTTGTTGTTTTACCTTGTCTTCTTTATTAACCCTAACCCTTGTGTGTTTCTTGATAAGAAAGAAACCGTTTATACTTTGTTTAAAGGTATCCGATTCAAAACATACGTTAACTAAAATCATTGTGTCATATTGTCTAGGAAATCTATTGTTTTGGCTACTTATAGCTATATCATCATGCCTACCAATGACCCACAACTATGGCCTGTTAATGTTGCTAACCTAATCAGCCCTCCAGTCATGCGAAGATCTATCGGTCGTCCTAAAAAGAATCGTAACAAGGTGAATGACGAACCAAGGATAAGAAATACACTGCCTAGAACTCTTCAAACTGTCAAGTGCAAGAAATGTCGGAGTTTTGGCCATAACAAAGGAACGTGTAAAGGGAAGCGAGCTACGGAGAGAGCGATTCCTAAAGGTGGCAACAAAAAATCTAAAAAAAAGGGTGACAAGTCGGGCAAGAAGCGGGAGAAACTGTTGTAGACGGAGGGTCGCAAGCACCGCCACCAACCCAAGAATAGTTCTATGTTTTGCTTTACTTTTTGTGATGCTACTATAGCATATGTTATGACCAAAAAACTCAATGTCTTTTTGTTAAAATATGTTGTCTTTAATGTTGCCATCAATGTAATGATACATCAGCCTTCAATGTTATGTTATATATGTTGTTATATAATGTTGCTGTTTGATACATCAGTCTACCAACGGGTTTTTGATCCATTAATTTCTTAGTAGGTTTTTCTGTTGCAAGAGTCAAAGCACCTAATGTATCCATTATCAAATTGACCCATAATAATTGAACTGCTGTTAATGGAACTTCACCTGCTGCTACAAAATTGATAACAAGTGCAGCTACATTCACTGTTAATTGAAAATGAATGAATTTTTGAATGTAGTTGTAAAGCATAAAAAAATAATACAATATGTAGTAATATGTACCAATTTTTGAATGAATGAATTTTTGAATGTAGTTGCAAAACGTGAGATTGTGTATTTTTTCAACTGCCACCAAGTTTTATAGCTCAATACTAACATACTTTAATAACTACCTGTGTTTTTTTTTGTGTAAAATAACATGAAGTACTTTCAATATGCATAGAGGAGTCATAACATTACACAATCGATCATAGCATCTCCATGAACAGATGGTACAACAGCTTGATGGTTCATACAATATGTTTCCAACACAAATTTGTTTCAAACTATTTCAACACAAATCTGTTCCCATAACATTACACAATCTGTTCTCACATCAAAGTAACTATAACATTTGATATTACATCAATTGAGTACATGTGTTACAACTAATGCAAACACAACTAAAAAGACAAACATCAAAGATAACCCCACAAAATAATACATAAACCTAATTTTCATCTTCAACAAATCTTCATTTTTCTTGATGTCCTTAATCACATGCGTGAGCTCCTCATTATTGTCTTTCAAAGATCTTATCACATCTTTAGCACAACTGCTCATGTCTTCATCAACCCACTGAAAGTAATTACATCCTTTTTTCCTCATCACCTTAAAATTACCACACCCATGAAATCTTCTTACGTGATTATCGTATGTCCATGACGTCATCAACGGTGACTCAAGCTCACACCAACATCTATTACCTCTTCTTCTTATAACAGACCCAGACTAATTTGTTAAGGAAAAAGAAAAATTCATTTCGGACATGTCGGTAAATAGGAGGGCTGGTACGAGTTTGTTGAGGAAAATGGGTTACAATGGGAAGAAGAAATGCGAGCTGCAGTTTGATTCATTCGTGAAGAAATGGGAAGATGAAAATGGTTACAATGGGTTGAAGATGAAAATGAAATAATATTTAAGTTAATGAGATTTTTTATTTAAGTTTTATTTTATTAAATTTGTGAAAATGAAATAATATTTTAAGTTAATGACATGGAAATGCCACATCAGTATTCAACGCCCCACCTCATTAAAATCATGACTTAAAATGACAAGGGAACTAATATTAATCTTAAAACCTAAAAAAGGGACCAAAATCGTGGTTTTTAAAATGGGGATCAAAACTCAAAAAAACATAAAATAGGGGGACCAAAGTTGCAATTAAGCCAATCTTATTTAAGATCATCAATGTCTCAATAAAGATCGAATGAATTGACTTTATTATTAATTGAAAAAGAAATGTTAAATGAAATAAATTACAATAATTTAATAAATGATTTTAGATCTAAAAAGCTCGCAAAATAAAATCTTAAATAAAAAATACTATTAACTTAAAAAAGACATCATTTTAAGATTTGTCTTAAGCTGCAATGTCTCTTGGGACGACCCTGTAAAAATTAAATGGTATTTAGTCATGAGGATTTTTTATTGCACAATCCTAAATGTTTCTTAGACACCACGCAAAATTTTAAAATATTTTAAATTTCGAATATATATTTTCGAACGCATCCTAATACACATGTTTTATTTGTTTTGGAAATATACTTCAATTTTGTGAATAAAATTATTTCGAAAATAAATTTCCGAAAATACATTTTTAAAATTAAAAATACAAATGAAAATTAAGAAAGATTGCATTTTTACCTTCGCTGTGATTTTTTTTATTGATTTCTTTTTCTAGTTTTTGCTTGGACCAAGTTTTAGTGGGTTTTAAATTTTTTTATTTTAAAAATGAGATTTGATTTGGCAATGGTGATGAATGATGCTGGCTACATGAATATGGATTTTGTATTATCTGTTGTTTTTGATCTGGATGATTAGGACACCAGAAAATTAAGCTTTATGAGACAATGTTGCTATATTATTTGTTTATGGCATATTTGACTTTAAGCATAAACCGAGAAAGTTGGGAAATGGATGATTTCTTATGTAAAATGATGAACAGATTTAAGGTTTTTTGTTATCAGGTTTCTTGGCGGAGGGATAGAGATACATCATGTACATATCATAGAACAGATTTAAGTGGAATACCATGTTGTCATGCTATTGCATGCATATGGTATAACAAGAAGGAGCCCGAAGATTATGTTTCATCATTCTATAGGTATCACCTACTCGTATATTATGTTCATTTACATTCATCTTTTTTGTACGTTGTGAGATGTTGGATCGAACTCTAGTATGGTTGAAGTCTGTTCGCGAGTAATGTGTGTTGTAGTCGAAGTTTGTTCTAACATGCATTAGTCAATATTGCTAGGGTTGTTAGCATGTTGAATTGGGCCTTGGTTGTAAGCCCAATTGTTTAAGTTAGCTTGTACCCTAAGTTGGCTTGTAATGGGTAATTGTTAAAAAAGCCCATTAGGTTAGTGTGCTATTTTACTATAAATAGGATGCTAGTTTCTCAATCTTGAGAATAAGGAAAAATAGGAAGATAAAATCCTAATTTCAAGGGAGAGAGGTTATTTTGTTATTCTTGTATACTTGTAATCTTGTTCTAAGAGAAAGGAAAGAATAGCAGTTTAATAACCAATCCTTGTTGTCCCTTGTTGTTTTACCTTGTCTTCTTTATTAACCCTAACCCTTGTGTGTTTCTTGATCATTAAGAAACTGTTTATACTTTGTTTAAAGGTATCCGATTCACAACAAATTGGTGCGGTGAGCGTGGAAGATGCCTTCAACAAAGTGTGAGATTGAAAAGTTCACCGGAGTGAACGACTACGGTCTGTGGCGCTTGAAGATAAAAGCCCTATTGGTTCAGCAGGGTTGTTTGGAAGCGTTGAAGCGTGAGGCAGCCATGGACATTGCGTTAACGGCAAAAGAAAAGACATTGCCTAGTTGCAAGTGTTTCAATTGTATGCAGTTAATAAATCTGCATGAAGAAAGCTAGTTTCTTGATGTTATAGAGTTAGATCCAAGGTGGAGATTTGTGAGATGTTGGATCGAACTCTAGTATGGTCGAAGTCTGTTCGCGAGTAATGCGTGTTGTAGTCGAAGTTTGTTCTAACATGCATTAGTCAATATTGCTAGGGTTGTTAGCATGTTGAATTGGACCTTTGTTGTAAGCCCAATTGTTTAAGTTAGCTTGTACCCTAAGTTGGCTTGTAATGGATAATTGTTAAAAAAGTCCATTAGGTTAGTGTGCTATTTTACTATAAATAGGATGCTAGTTTCTCAATCTTGGGAATAAGGAAAAATAGGAAGATAAAATCCTAATTTCAAGGGAGAGAGGTTATTTTGTTATTCTTGTATACTTGTAATCTTGTTCTAAGAGAAAGGAAAGAATAACAGTGTAATAACCAATCCTTGTTGTCCCTTGTTGTTTTACCTTGTCTTCTTTATTAACCCTAACCCTTGTGTGTTTCTTGATAAGAAAGAAACCGTTTATACTTTGTTTAAAGGTATTCGATTCACAACATACGTTAACTAAAATCATTGTGTCATATTGTCTAGGAAATCTATTGTTCTGGCTACTTATAGCCATATCATCATGCCAACCAATGGCCCACAACTATGGCATGTTAATGTTGCTAACCCAATCAGCCCTCCAGTCATGCGAAGATCTATCGGTCGTCCTAAGAAGAATCGTAACAAGGCGAATGGCGAACCATGGATAAGAAATACACTGCCTAGAACTCTTCAAACTGTCAAGTGCAAGAAATGTCGGAGTTTTGGCCATAACAAAGGAACGTATAAAGGGAAGCGAGCTACGGAGAGAGCGATTCCTAAAGGTGGCAACGAAAAATCTAAAAAAAAGGGTGACAAGTCGGGCAAGGAAGCGGGAGAAACTGTTGTAGACAGAGGGTCGCAAGCACCGCCACCAACCCAAGAATAGTTCTATGTTTTCCTTTACTTTTTGCGATGCTACTATAGCATATGTTATGACCAAAAAAATCAATTTCTTTTTGTTAAAATATGTTGTCTTTAATGTTGCCGTCAATGTAATGATACATCAGTCTTGATACATCAGCCTTCAATGTTATGTTATATAGTGTTGTTATATAATGTTGTTGTTTGATACATCAGTCTACCAACAGGTTTTTGATCCATTAATTCCTTAGTAGGTTTTTCTGTTGCAAGAGTCAAAGCACCTAATGTATCCATAATCAAATTGACCCATAATAATTGAACTGCTGTTAATGGAACTTCACCTGCTGCTACAAAATTGATAACAAGTGCAGCTACATTCACTGTTAATTGAAAATGAATGAATTTTTGAATGTAGTTGTAAAGCATAAAAAAATAATACAATATGTAGTAATATGTACGAATTTTTGAATGAATGAATTTTTTAATGTAGTTGCAAAACGTGAGATTGTGTATTTTTTCAACTGCCACCAAGTTTTATAGCTCAATACTAACATACTTTAATAACTACCTGTGTTTTTTTTTGTGTGTAAAATAACATGAAGTACTTTCAATATGCATAGAGGAGTCATAACATTACACAATCGATCATAGCATCTCCATGAACAGATGGTACAGCAGCTTGATGGTTCATACAATATGTTTCCAACACAAATCTGTTTCAAACTATTTCAACACAAATATGTTCCCATAACATTACACAATCTGTTCTCACATCAAAGTAACTACAACATTTGATATTACATCAATTGAGTACATGTGTTACAACTAATGCAAACACAACTAAAAAGACAAACATCAAAGATAACCCCACAAAATAATACATAAACCTAATTTTCATCTTCAACAAATCTTCATTTTTCTTGATGTCCTTAATCACATCCGTGAGCTCCTCATTATTGTCTTTCAAAGATCTTATCACATCTTTAGCACGACTGCTCATGTCTTCATCAACCCACTGAAAGTAATTACATCCTTTTTTCCTCATTACCTTAAAATTACCACACCCATGAAATCTTCTTACGGGATTATCGTATGTCCATGACGTCATCAACGGTGACTCAAGCTCACACCAACATCTATTACCTCTTCTTCTTATACCAGACCCAGACTGGTTTGTTAAGGAAAAAGAAAAATTCATATCGGACATGTTGGTAAATAGGAGGGCTGGTACGGGTTTGTTGAGGAAAATGGGTTACAATGGGAAGAAGAAATGCGAGCTGCAGTTTGATTCATTCGTGAAGAAATGGGAAGATGAAAATGAAATAATATTTAAGTTAATGAGATTTTTTATTTAAGTTTTATTTTATTAAATTTGTGAAAATGAAATAATATTTAAGTTAATGACATGGAAATGCCACATCAGTATTCAACGCGCCACCTCATTAAAAGCATGACTTAAAATGACAAGGGAACTAATATTAATCTTAAAACCTAAAAAAGGGACCAAAATCGTGGTTTTTAAAATGGGGGATCAAAACTCAAAAAAACATAAAATAGGGGGACCAAAGTTGCAATTAAGCCAATCTTATTTAAGATCAACAATGTCTCAATAAAAATTGAATGAATTGACTTTATTATTAATTGAAAAAGAAATGTTAAATGAAATAAATTACAATAATTTAATAAATGATTTAAGATCTAAAAAAGCTTGCAAAATAAATTCTTAAATAAAAAATACTATTAACTTAAAAAGACATCATTTTAAGATTTGTCTTAAGCTACAATGTCTCTTGGGCCGACCCTGTAAAAATTAAATGGTATTTAGTCATGAGGATTTTTTATTGCACATCCTAAATGTTTCTTAGACACCAAGCAAAATTTTAAAAATATTTTAAATTTCGAATATATATTTTCGGACGCATCCTAATACACATGTTTTATTTGTTTTGGAAATATACTTCAATTTTGTGAATAAAATTATTTTGAAAATAAATCTCCGAAAATACATTTTTAAAATTAAAAATACAAATGAAAATTAAGAAAGGTTGCATTTTTACCTTCGCTGTGATTTTTTTTATTGATTTCTTTTTCTAGTTTTTGCTTGGACCAAGTTTTAGTGGGTTTTAAATTTTTTTATTTTAAAAATGAGATTTGATTTGGCAATGGTGATGAATGATGCTGGCTACATGAATATGGATTTTGTATTATCTGTTGTTTTTGATCTGGATGATTAGGACACCAGAAAATTAAGCTTTATGAGACAATGTTGCTATATTATTTGTTTATGGCATATTTGACTTTAAGCATAAACCGAGAAAGTTGGGAAATTGATGATTTCTTATGTAAAATGATGAACAGATTTAAGGTTTTTTGTTACCAGATTTCTTGGGAGAGGGATAGAGATACATCATGTACATATCATAGAACAGTTCTTTAGGTGATTCAGTCAAAAGTTGGTAGAATGTATTTTAAAAATTTTATTTTCGGAATAATTTTATTTATAAAATTAAAGTATATTTCAAAAACAAATGAAATTTATATATCAGAGTACGTCTGAAAATAAATCTCCAAAAATGAATGGAAATAAATCTTAAAAAATGAATGAGATTTTTGAAAAGTATGAATGTGGGTGGAGGTGTGTAATCCATCTAGCTAACCTGAGAATTTCTTGCCATTTTGTAGAATTATTATTGCCACATTTTTTTTTTATTTGATTTCAAATGATTCTCAATCCACATATCTTATTAAAAAACTACACATATCTTATGAGCTACAAAAAAACAATGTCACTTGTTCATAATTTGTTCTCTTGTTCTTAATTTCCCCTTCACCAAGACACGTATCCTCTTTTTTGTACAACCAAATTGAGTATGTGTCCTTTCACCACACAGTATGAGGATACTCTGTACCCTCTACTCTATTATCCTCGCATTAAATTTCATTTTTGTGGTTAATAATCTCTTTACCTTTTTTGTGATTCTCATATTTCTAACTTAGTATCATCATGGGTTCCACAAAGTTTTTATCTTTTTCCTTCTCCTACTTAGTATATCTATATGTCTTGTTCTTCATCATGCACTACATTGTAACATACCCTTTACTAGTTTGAGCAATTTCTCTTTTCCATGGCGAAAAGCTCTCTTGATTATAGTCCTTTGCTTTCTAAACAAGGTGGTGAAACTGATTATGGCTATGTCAGAAAGATATCACCTTCTGTTGTTTCAGCTACAAAATGGACTCTTAGGATTTTGATTTTTATAGTCTTTGTTTTATGGGGTGCTTTCATTTTTCTGTTACCATCGGAACCTGTTTATAAATTGTTCACAAAATGGCTTCGTTTCAGCCGTGGAACTTCCTATGGAATCACAGGTTTTTATTTAATTTTGTTGTTGTGCTTTTACCATGTTGTTTGAGTTCAAAGCTAACTACTACCTGTGTGTTGTTTATGCAGGAAGCATTTTGATGAGCCACAGTGTTCCAGTTCTTGCAATTGCATTTCTAGCCATTGCACACCTGATTATTTCTGGGGAGGATCAGCTTCCTGAGTATGTGAATTCTACAACTTTTTCTATTTCTGGAATGATTTGGATACATCTTTGTATTTTGCATTTTGGTTTTGTTTTTTGACTTGGATTTTGATGGTAGGAAGAAGAGTTCCAAGTATCCAAGATTTCGCCTATGGACTTTTCCTCTGCTTATCAATGGACCATTTGGGGTGGTTTCTGCTACAGAGTTCATTGGGATTGTCATTTTTGTAGCATATGTTATTTGGGCTTTCTCTACTTATGCTATGCAGGCTCTTGCAAATATGTCTGATCAGTTGTCTTTTAGAGCCCTGAGGTACTACGGCAATTTAAATCTGTTTCTTTATTTCGTAAAACCATTGATTATGTGCGATCTTGGCCATTTTTGGCCACAATCGACCATTTTGCGATCACCGTCATTACAAGCTGAGAAGGATGAGGCACAACAATTACGGTTTGGTGGAGGCCGTTTTTCCACTGACACTTGCCTACCAAAATATCATGCAAAAAAACTTCAAATATTTAGTATTACTTTTCTTTTTAGTAATATCGTACATTTTTTGTTAGAATCTTATGTTTTACGATCTTGCTACACCTCCTGATCTTACAAAAATAATTAGGTAGAATCTTCCAATCTTAGTTATGATCTTATGTTTTAGGATCTTACTCATATGCAAGATCCCGATCTTAATAACCTTGCTGACAATAGTTGTTAGCATGAACAGAGTGTTTGTCATAGAACCTTTCCAGTGATAATGTAGTTTTAAACATGAATTAGAATAGTAAGCTAATTTACCTGGCTTACTTGCCTTTTTTTCAGCTTGCGCATGTTGGATATTATGGGACTTCGTTTGGGTGCAATTGGATTAGTGTGCTTGGCGTTTTTATTTCTTCCGATTTCACGGGGATCGGTTCTTCTCCGCTTTATAGATATCCCTTTTGAACATGCTACAAAATATCATGTATGGCTAGGACACCTCACAATGGTGCTTTTTACTCTCCATGGACTCTTCTATGCTATTGAGTGGCTAATGGAAGGTCGACTAATTCGAGAAGTGAGTCTTCTTTGATCGATCCGTTTATTTTTCATGCATAGAATGACACACCTTTTATCTTACTTTTCTTTTGCCATATAAACTGTATACAATATTATACAAATACTTCATAGTTAGTTTCTGAGAAAAATCAAGATAGTTATTTATTTGCTTCTCTTTATACAATTTGGTCTTTCTTTGCAGTTAGTAGAATGGAAAGATATCGGTGTTGCCAATCTTGCAGGAGTTATCAGCCTTGTAGCTGGTTTGTTGATGTGGGTGACCTCACTTCCTGGAGTACGAAAGTGGAATTTCGAGTTGTTTTTCTACACTCACCAATTATACATAATCTTTATCGTCTTTATGGCTTTACATATCGGCGACTTTATTTTCGCTATGGCCGCGGGACCAATATTTCTTTTTGTGCTCGACCGTTTCCTGAGGTTCTGCCAATCAAGAAAGACAGTTAATGTTATCTCGTCGAGGTGCCTTCCGTGCGGTACTGTGGAAATGGTTCTATCAAAACCTCAAAGTAATTATACTTATCTCAGCATTTTTATGCACATATTCTTGTACCATTTTACCATATCAGTGACAACATATCTTCTTAAAATTGTAGATTTGAGATACAATGCGCTAAGCTTCATTTTCCTTCAAGTTCGGGAATTATCGTGGCTGCAGTGGCATCCATTCAGTGTTTCTTCTAGCCCTTTGGATGGAAATAATCACATTGCTGTTCTCATAAAGGTTCTAGGAAAATGGACAGGGAGATTAAGAGAAACAATCACTAATGTTGATGCACCAGAGGATTTATCGGTTAAGCCTAATACCGTGGTAACAGCTTCTGTTGAGGGGCCGTATGGACATGAAGTACCATACCATTTGATGTAAGTGGTTGCATGTTCGAAGAAGATTTTAAGCCTACTTATGTCGTAGTTCTTACTTCTTCAACTAATGAATTATTGTGTCTATTTTGTTCTTTCAGGTACGAAAATCTTATATTAGTGGCTGGTGGTATTGGACTTTCGCCTTTCCTTGCTATATTGAGCGATATTCTCCACCGTGTGAGGGAGGGGAAACCTTGTAGACCAAGAAATGTTTTAATTGTTTGGGCAGTGAAAAAATCAAATGAGCTTCCACTTCTTTCGACCGTCGACATGGAAACAATCTGTCCAAACTTTTCTGATAAAGTGAATATCAATGTACATATTTTCGTCACTCGAGAATCAGATCCTCCATTGGTTAGTCTCGCTTTCTATATACAACTTTGTACTTTCTTACATTCATGTTTGAGAGGTAATCAAATGAGCATCCATTTCGTCGTTCTGCAATCAGATGTAGGCACAATTAGCCTAACTTTGAGATCAAATACCACGTGTTCTCCGATTTTCATTTTTTGTATCTGTTTTATTTTTGGACCAGATTTGTTGTTCTAACAACTTGATTGTTATCATCTGCAGGAAGAGGGATACGTTTTCAAACCGATAAAATCTTCACTATGTCCCTTTCCAATGCCTAGTGATTATGGAATGTCTGGTTTGGTTGGTACAGGAAACAATGTTTGGTCAGGACTATATGTCATTTCATCTACCTTGGGCTTTGTGATCTTATTTGCTTTGTTGAATATTTTCTATATAAATCCATTTGGTGTGTATAAATGGTGGTACAAAGGGTTACTATTTGTAATCTGCATGGTTGCAAGTGTCGTTATCTTTGGTGGCATAGTGGTTGGATTTTGGCATATGTGGGAAAAGCAAAGTTCTCTCAAAGATAATTCCAATAACATCAAGGTTGATAAAATCGAGCAAAACGGCTCCGCAGCTTCCAAGGATCCAAGTCCAGACAATCTTACAAAGTTAACCGATGTTCAATATGGTTCTAGGCCAGACTTTAAAGGTACGTTTTCAAACCTTTCGATCAAAATTAGACAATTCAAATGTAAGCGACTGCGTCGTTACTAATAATGATGCGAATGTTGCAGAGATTTTTGAATTGATGTCAGAGAAATGGGGCCATGTTGATGTTGGTGTTATAGTTTGTGGTCCTCCAACTCTTCAAACAAGTGTTGCACAAGAAATCAGGTCACATAGTTTGACAAGACAAACTTATCATCCCATCTTCCATTTTCACAGTCATAGCTTTGATCTTTAGCTACCTCTCTATGATGGAAAGATGGAAGACATGCCTTCAATAATGGAAAAGCATGCATATATACTGCGTATATATATAGTTAGTGAATATTTTGCACCTTTAATATGGCAAAAAAATAGTGCCAAATTGCAATTCAATTATGCAGTATATTGCAAGATAAGGTAGTAATTATAACCTTTAGAAGGAGTTCTATGAGGGATGATATTGATTACTCCTGATGTGAATATATTATCACTAGATATATATTATGTGCAATTTCAGTTATACTGTATAACTTTTATTAATTTGTTTTTCTTTCTTTTATTTTATTTTATTTAGAAGATATTGTATAATGTTTATCATAACCAGTATTTTGAAGTGATCCTCCAGAATTTGAATCGATAATACTACTTCAGAAGCAAAATAAATTAAGTAAAAATAATAATATACACGAGGGAAATTACATGATTAACAATCCCTTTTTAAAACCTAATACATAATCATCTAATTTTTTATCTTCAATTTTTCATTAATTTAAGAATTCTCTAGGGCGATATTAAAAATTTTATTCGGCCTACCGAAAATTTCAAAACCAAAATGTTTTTTTTACCATAAATAATAAAATTTGTATGGTTTTGTACCGCAAATTTTAAAATTTTTGATAATTGTAAAAATATATACATCTAAAATTTCACAATTTACGGTACAAATGATCTACAAATTCTCAAAATTTTAAAATTTCTGGTAGTTATAAAAATTTTGTTTTCATTTTGAAAATTCTAGAATTTTCAAAAAAATGAAAGAAACTTCCAATAGATATTAATCTTTTTTCTTTTTTACGTTTTTTTTAGTGAAGTACAAGGGCAGAGGTAGGGACAACACTATTTTAGGTAGAGGGGCTGATAGAGCGGAAGATCAGACTATGGTTATTAAGGCTGAGTCTTTCTAAATATGGGTTGGACGAGTGGTTCCAACTAGTTCACACTGAAAACAATTGGTTGAGCAAGGGTAGTTTCGCGTAGCCCGTAGCACTCGACGCCGAGCAGTTAGATCAGTTGAGCAGCCCAGAGATGATGTTGAGGCTATTCATGCTTAGGATGTGCATTTTAGAATGTTCATGACCTAACAGTCGAGAGAGATGCGACACATATAACTGTTAAGGTTGTTGATGAGGGGGTTGCCGATGAAGTGGCAGATGAGGTGGTTCAGCTATATGCCCATATTATAAATGAAGTGGTCCATCCAGATGTCGCTGTTGCAGATGAGGTGGTCCATCCAGATGTCGTTGTTGTTGATCTGGTCCCATCTGCTACTTCTGACACAGAGATTACAACTCCTTCGACCGAACCGTCTGTGCACACTGATGGAATGTTCCTGGGAGAACCCATTGACTGATTGGTGCTTATCGAGTATGCTGGCCATGTGGCATATCGACTATGGTAAGAAGGGTTGTATATTTTATGTTTAACTTTAATTTATTTATTATTGTGTCATGAAAGCTAACTGTTAATTTTTTAAATTTGTTTGTTACATGACCGTCTCCCATTGAAGGTGACATCACACTAGTCGAAGCTGAAGAACTTTCCGAAGACTCTGATTCCTGAGCAGGTCAATCGTATTGTACGTGATTTTGAGCTCCTTGGTTTTGGCTACTACTCTCTCATCGTGCTCGACGTTTCACTACTTATTGCTTTTGTTGAGAGATGGCACAATGAGGCATCTTCATTTTATCTTTTGTTTGGGGAGATCACTATGGTTGTTCATTAGCCTTGACGTTACCAATTGGGCTTGGGGGTGTGTTGTGTTGACTATCATATATACAGCACTTGGAGTGGCGCATATATTTAAGACCAGACAGCTTGTTAGTTATTTAATTTTATTACAGGTATACTTGAAACTATTATTTGTTGTTGAGTTCTTATTTAATTGTTACGAATAACATTTCTTAATTATTAATTATTGTGTTTGTTTTCTGATATTTGTGCTAGATATACGAGTATTTCCCCCACCATCTGTGACATGAAGGTCAAACATTCCTCAATGTGGGCCCCTCGGGCGAGGAGATGGAAGGGCAGACAGTCACATTCTAGTGGTGTTGCGGAGTACAGGAGGAGGCTAGATGCACTGACTGTAGATGATGTCATCTAGACATCATACACTGATCATAGAGTCGGTCGTGAGTTTGATGACTCTTCTTTATATTCAGGTTATATGCGGTGGGAGACCATGGTCGCTAAACATTTGCCTGAGAGGTGTCTCTGACAATATGATTATGTTCAAAAGATCCCACGATCAGTTCTGGATATTCCATCTGCGAGCATTGATAGGTGGTTTGAGAGTAACATCATCGCCTTTGGTCATGCCATTAGAGATCGCATAGTTACGGTTCTGCATGTCTTGCAGTGTGAGGATGGTTACTTGGAGTGGTACCTCACTGTATCACACTCTCGCACCATCCCACCTGTTGAGCATACATATGATGTTGGGGCTTCCGATGTTGAGGTACATGTCGATGATGTACCACCACCGCCTTCTCTAGCTAATGTCGATGACCATCAGCGTTTTCAGATGATTGTAGTTATTATGGATAACCTCATGAGTTTGGTAAACCCATATGGCGAGGTTTTTACTGGATATTCTCGGGTTGCACACATAGTCCATGTGAAACCTATTTAGATGTTATTGTTATCTTTATGTATTATTTATATATTACATGTAACATTACTCAGACATCTTCATTAGAACTTTTTATTAGATAATATTTTTTTTACCTTCCATTGATGCAATATGAACATAAATTAACATTTGATGATTTTTTTTAAATAACCACCTTTTTCAAATTAAGGGTTAAATATGTTTTTGGTCCCAATAAAATTATCAAATTTTGTTTTTGGTTCTTATAAAAAAATAGCATGTTTTGGTCCCTACAAAATAATTATGCACGTAGTTTTAGTCTCTACGGTTAAACTAATGTGTATTTTTGAATTATTATTTTGCTAATATGTTTTGAACGTTATAAAAAGTTTCTCGAGAAAAAAGAAACTCAAAATTTGATTTACAAGTCGAGATTTTAATTATTTTTATCATTATCTTTTGAAATTAAAAAAATTCATATTTAATTCTTCTCATTTTTAAAAATTATATAATTTGGTAAATAAATATTTTATAGTAATCTAAACACGTATGAAAAAATTTATTCAAAAATTTAAAAGTTTAGGGGTAATTAAATAGTTTTCAAAATTTTAGAAAATAACAAGGACTAAAACTGGATGCGTAAAATTTTTTTAGGGATCAAGATATGTCATTTTTTATAGGGGCTAAAAATGAAATGTGAGATATTTATAGGGACAAAAAAAATATTTAACCCTCAAATTAAATACCAAAAGAACCACCTTTTCAAATAATTTACCAAACTAACCACGTTTTAAAAAATAATTACACACAAGAGGAGTAGCCAGAGGGTATGGCGCATGTAGAAGTGGAAAACTGGTCGCCCGCCTCGCCTTGTCCCGCCCCACCCAGCCTTAAGTCCACCAAAAAAAGGCAGGGCGGGCAAGCCCGTCAAGTGAAAATGGGCATAAAAATCTAACTCGCCCCGCCAAGGTGGCGGGTCGACGGGCGGTGGGCTTGCCCACCTACTTTTTTATTTATTTATTTTTCATTTTTTTTAATAGATTAATAGGCTTGTTTTTACATTTCAATTAGATTTTTCACTTATTTTTAGAACAATTTTTATAAAGCATCTTTTTAACAAATTTTACTTCAAAAAAATAGCATATATTCTCAAATAAATGTATAAAATAAAACTACTAAAAATTGGAATTACTAGAATTAACTCAAAAGGGTGTGTTTAAGATGGGACAAACTGAATGAAAAGGTGTGGCAGGCTTTCGCGGGCGGTAGGTTTTGACGGGGCGGGCTTTGGTGGGTGGTGGTCTTTAGTGGGGCGTGTAACACCCCATTTAATTATTTAGTTGCTTTATGCTTTATTGTGTGTTGATTGTGATTTTATTGATTTAATTAAAGGTGGGTGTGAAAGTTTAGTAAGAGGACTTAATTGGAATTAAAGGTTAGGACAACATGATGATAATAATATAATAAGGAGATATTTTTTTAATGTTAAGGTTAGTGTATTAATATTAGTAGTATTACTATAATAATTATTAACATTAGTATTATTATAATTATTAACATTATTATTATTATTGGGGTTATTATTATTATTATTATTATTATTATTATTATTATTATTATTATTATTATTATTAAGATAATTATTAAAACCTAATTAGAGGGATTAGTGGAGAGGTTAGCAAAAATCAGTCAATTTTGATTTTAGGTGAAAAGAGAGAAGGAAAGCTAGGGCTGGAGACCCAGAGGAAATTTTCACCATTGTTGAAGGATTAAGCTCAAATTTTAGGTAAGGGGGGAGAATGAAATTTAATATAGGTGATCTGAACATGAGAGGCTAGTGAGGGATCCTTTTCGCTCTTAGGTTCTGTGCATTTTTCTCCTTCTTGCTTAATTTTTCGTATTTGAGATGATTGTTAGGTGATTGTTGTTGTTAAGTTGTAATCGTGTATTGAATATGTGTCTGAATCTGTGTTGTATGTGGAATTCGAATGGTAAATTCGTGCAAATTGATCATGCATTGTTAAATTCTGATATAGAACAGATCTGAGAATTTGGGGTTTATGGGATTAACGAAAAATAGGTTGTTAAAACATAAAATGTTGATAAAAATGATGAAACCATGAAGTAGAGTTAGAACTTTGGGATTAGACTGAAGAAAATATGATTTTGGATCTGATTTAGGTGTTGGAATGAGTTTCAATGTGTGAGGCATGCTCATTGGTCATACGTGTATGGGGGAGGCCATACGCGTATGGGGGACACTCCCAAAGGCCGTACGCGTAGCACATGTGCCTTGTCCCCAGAGCCAGCATGATATTTTTCCAGTACGCGAATGATACGCATATGGCAGGGTCAGTACGCATAGGGGTAGCTTTTGGGGGAAGTCA